TTAGGTTAATTGGTTCATTACCGATGTATGAAGTATTCATATATAAGTGACATTCGAAACACCTTGTTATCAGCATTCTAAAAATTCGTTATATCATTTACTTTTTTCCATCATTCGGTGATTTTCCTATTGACGACATTACAAAAAAAAAAAAAAGAAAATAATAATAATCATGTCAAGCTTTACTTATTGTTTAGAAAAATCCAATCATCTCTACCTTGACATTTCAAAAGATCCCTACACTAAAACTGAGTGGTTATTACATCATTTCGGAAAGACCCATGAATTATTTCACGGAATTAGGTTGGGCCCAACTTTTATAAATGAAAACGTTTGTCAAACCTTAATATCAAGAAATGTCGTTTTTTCAAGATATTTGGTTCAAAGAGTATTAACGTATTATGGAAGACAAAATCCAGCATTGACCGAACAGAAAATCACGTTCAACGCCATACAATCAGGCTCAAATAAATTAAAGATCCATATATTACAAGAAGGAGCTGCTATATTTTCCGAATTATTACTTATTAACGTTAAGGGGAACGACACACTTGGATCAAAAAGTGAGATAATAAAGCAACTACATCGACCAAAAGAAACCTCGAGCCTTTTTCGGATATATAATAGTAGTCATAGGCCATAGTTTCAGACTTTTTACCATCGAAGAACTCGGATGTTATCTTTTGAACCTTGTAAAATACGTGATATCATGTATTAAATTTTTAAGATCTCCTCAATGTAGTTGGCATGTCTAAAAACATTTTTATTAGAAGTTTGTAGTGATGTTGAACAATCACTCTTTATTACACAGGTACTTTCTTCGTTCCGAGCACTACAAAAAAAAAAAATTTATAATATTTAGATTCATCAATTTTTTGATAGTAAATCCTGTCGTATAATTTTTTTTTTCATATTTAATCTTATACTCTATACATGTACATTAAATCGTGTATGCTTTACTTTTTCCAATGTAAAATTTTTCAAAAATTTATTTTATAAAACTCCAAATTCCA